TTGAATGCTTTTGAACGCTAAATCGTACATTTAGGAATGTTCCCGGCGCATATTTCATTTCCGCGATTTTAGATTGATGACAATAACGTACTGCTCCTCACAGCGCCGCGAAGTAGGGTGGAGCCCGGTGCTGAAACTGGAACAGTAGGGTCAGACCTCTGTTTTCCGTGTTGCTGTAATTGTTAATCTGTCCAGAGAAGAACCCCAAAGTTGTGGAGAAAGACTGCCCAGTGCATTCTTTGAACTGCACGAATTTATTTTAAAAGACATTGAAAAATATTATTTTAGGAAATCATTGCTGCGCGCTCGGCGCCCGCCGCCTGGCGTTACTTGCAGCGGCCAAAGCCGTTCGGTTTTGCGAAAACTGCGACCCATGCCATCGCTATCCTTGCTCCCCCAGATTATGGGCGTTGCAATGACGCCTTACGACGCCCTCAGCTGCTGGGGCTATATGGCGCCACTAGCCTCTCACCCTGGTGGGAAGGGCGGACGTCGTGGAGAATCGAACCCCGTACATGTGGTTTCCAGACACGCGGTGGTCGACGCAGAAGTGTTGACCACTACGCTATCGGCACTCAGCGCTCAGGCTCAAACCCTTTGATGGCATTTGTTTCACTAGTCGATGCTGCAAAATAATGTATGTTCTCAGGCACAAATGGGATGGTTTTTGTGTTGGGAGCTCATTTTGACCCGCTCCATTCAACACTAATTAAACCTTTATTTCTTTCCCGTAAAGAGACCCCTGGAGCACAACATTACGAGGCATATTGCTGTTCCTGGTCAAGGCCTGAAGGGTCATTCTATCCCACTGCGATGTGTTTTCCGGCCGTCATTTGGGCGACACGGGGAGGAGTCCCCTGGCCGATCCGGAGGTCCTTGGCGGAATATATCATATCACATTGGTCCGCTCCCTGATGTGGCATGACTTCTGACCCGCACAGTTGACCCCTGTTCGATGAATGAACCGGCGTTAACGCCACAACATCCCTGCTCGCTGCAAGTGGTCAAATAGTTGGCACATAGACTCCCAATGGGCTTAACGGGCCCATGTTAGAGTGGGTTTGGCCCACTGCTCAATACTGCGGGCCCTGACTGGCACAGGACTCTTCTTTTACCTCAACGTGAGCGCTCATCATAAGCTCTCACGTGTCCTTCAGTTGTCAGAGGACCCCGACCAACGCAAGAGGCCCTCTGCCACTCGGGCCCCCGTCCCCGGTGAGCGTATCTTCCCCCGATCCAATCAAGGCCCCTTGTTGACACAATGCCCTATCAGGCACGTTGGCCCCTGAACGGAGCTCGACCAATGTAATCGCGGGCCCGGCCTTGTCCCTGCTTGGGCCAATGGGCCCCTAAAGCTCAGACCAACACGGAGCCGACTGTTCGTTGTTCGTGATCTCTGGGCGAAATAAAGAAACGCTCGGTCTCAGGGGTCCCTATGGGTGCAAGAGATAATCTTACTGGCGTTTGAGATTATGGCCCTATGGGTGGGGATTCTTAATGTGACCTACAGTGAGCCCTTCAGACCCTCAGCCATCTCATTGGGCCCTCAGTCATTGGTCTCGATAGGCCCTCCCCCCTCTTCGGGCCTCTCAAACGCCGCCCCGACTCGGGGCCACTTGCCATCACAGTATCCCTGTTGGACGCCGTGACCGCTAACCGACACAGGAGCACCTCGTTGTGTCAGAGGCCCCGAACATTGCAAATCGCGGACCCTGGCTTCGCTTCTGCTTGGATAAGGGGTCTCAAGGGCTCAGACGGACATGGAGCCGGCTGTTCGGTGTGCGGGGTCTCTGACCGAGTTAGACACCCCGCACTGTCTCAGGGGTTCGTCAAACGGTGCAAGGGGACCTCCGAAATGATATTGCAGCTCACGACCCTACGGGCCGCGATTTTTTAACGTAACCTACAGCCAGTCTTTCGGGCCCTTATTCTCTCCAAGTGGGCTTTTGATCGTCGGCTCGGTGGGCCGCCCGGGATCCCCTTCAGGCCTCATCGAACGCTTCCCTTGGTCGAGCACAGGGCCCTATGTTAGGCGCTATGGGTCCTTGCAGATACAAAGCCCCCACCAGTGTAAACCACTGGCTGCGGCTTATAGCTGATTGGGAAGTGGGTCCTCTGTTTCCATATCGACACAGGGCCGACTGTGTGGTGCGGTGATACATGGCAGATGTATAGGCTCGTATTGTCTCAGAGGTTCTCCGATCGCGGTCGTTAAGGGTCCTCTGACCGTTTATTTCGAAGTCCATCTTCGCAGGCTGGGGCCCCGGACCAAGACTTCGACCAGCCCTTCATATCCTTAGACCCTCCAATCGGGCCCCTTGCTCGTCGGACCCGGTGGGCCCTCTAGGCCTTTTGGGCCTCCTCGAACACTACCTCTGGCCGACTCGGGCTCTGGACAACACAGAACCGCTTGTAGGTGCTGTGGGGCCCCAAACATTTAAATTGCTGGTTCCGACTATGTCCCTGCTTGGGAAATGAGCCCTTAGGTCCATGCCGCCACAGAGCCAACTGTGCGTCACTGGTGGTGTCCTGACCGAAATATAGGCCGTTATCGACGCAGTGGGTCCCTGATCAGTGCGCAGGGCTCTTTGCCTTTCATTGGAGTGCCCGGTCCTGTGGGCCGTAGCCCATAAATGAGACCTCCAGCTGGCTTTTCGGGCCCCACGGGAGCTTAATTTAGCACTTTATTGTAGGGCTCCGAGGCCCTCCGAAGGGCCCCTCGGAAGCTAAGGGGAGGGGACACCTGCTCCCTGCGTCCCTCCCCTGCCTGCGCTACTGCTAGCAGGGTACCTAACGGCGAGCGGATTGTCTAGCGGTGAGAAGGTGCTGACGGATTATAACAGACCTATATCGATGTGAGCGAATGGCTGACCAATGGCCAAATGACAAAAATGGCCGACTGAAGTCTTAGTTACAAAACAAATGGCTTTGTCCATGACAGAGTCACATAACCAGTGGCTTGCCGGTGACTTAATCATCGAACAAATGACTGGCCAATGGCGGAATAATAGAACAAAGTGGCTGAACAAAGGATGGGTCACGGAGCAAATGGATTACCAATGGCTGAGTTACAGAGAACATGGCTGCATGTCTACCCTGTTGTTAATCAATGCGATGCAAAGCGTGGAATTAAGCACATCTGTAATGATGAAAAATGCTTGGCTTGCAAGTGTGTAGTGTGCTGTTCAATTAGGAGCTTGATAATTTTGCTTGGATATTATTGTACGTCCGGGTGAAGCGAGGAATACGGAAGGTCCTTATGTTCTACCGCTTCTCTAACCACGTGGCGCCTCCTGGAGTAAACTTGAGTGGCAGTCAATACTAAAAAAATCATTTCGTATTTTAGAGGCCAAAAGGTCAAGACCTCAAACAACACGCTCAACCTATCTGCAAGTGCCCTTTCAGAGACATATTGCAATTTTTCATGGTTCCAAAGGATGCTTCACTTGAATCCCAACTCTTAAAGTTCAAATAAAGATAGTAGAAATGTGCTCGGCACGCGCCTCCGTTGTTGCGTACTGTTGGGAACAATCATACATTTAGATTGGTACCTCCAACACAATTTGTGTGGTCTGAGAGATGGAGTTAAGGCTTTCTTCTCTCCGCCCACAGCAGCTGAACGCATCATTTGCAAACAGGTTTGGGTCATTCTGGAAGTTGGAAAAGTGCGTTCGTGTTTAGAGATCGTCGTGGAGGCGTTTTGTTAATCCGATGAGCACGGACTATAAAAAGCAAAGGTGAAAAAATGTTCGTTATATCAAACAATATGACAAACTATGCCTTTTATATATGTGACAACCTTTTAAGAAGAGACATTGGAAAGCAAATAGCTTGGAGATACTAATTAAATAACTTGTAGTTGTTAACTATTAGTAATCAATAAGTTTTGACACTGCTACCCTTATTCTTCTTAGAATAAACAGGAGAAAGGAGAGACAAATGTGCTGATTTTCGGTTACATTCCTTATTGAAACAAATATCAGTAGCCTGATATCAGTAGCTATCAGATAGTAATATTATTAGTCACTACTGATATTCGTTTCGTTCAGGCATGGAGCCGTAAAACAACACATTTTTATCTCATTTTTACTTACTAGTCTACGGGGAACTAGGCTAACAGTACAATCTGATCTATATCAATAAATTTCTTCGCAAGTGCTCTTAACAACATATAACATACCCTGTAGTCATTCGCCGACAGCATCCAATGGTGAACATTTCTGGTATGCTATTGGACATTGATGTAGCCATCACCGTTGCTGTTTGTTTGCACCACTGCGTCTGTAGCCCATATATCATCCTCGTTGAATGACATTAACATCTGCGACAGGATATGCAGCGTGTCCCGACATAACAACAGTAATAGTCAACAACTGGGCAGAAGACAAGAACGGGACTATGAGAGAGGTGCCTGCAGCCGGCGTTACCAGTAAGAGATTTGCCGCGCCGCTCCCTGGACGCAGGCAGCCATCTGTGCCCAATTCTCTCAGCAATCGAGGACACTCAGGCCCAGATGTGCTGTCCGTGTGTGTGTGTGTGTGCATGTATGTGTCACTGGGGCACGATGCACTCAGCTGCTGAGGCTATGTGGTATCGCCTGCCGCCTCCCACCCTGGCAGGAAGGGCCGGCACCGCGAGGAATCGAACCCCGTACATCCGGTTTCCCAGACGCGCAGTGGTTAACGCTGATGCGTTAACCACTCACTACCGGTACCCCTCAGGTCTTTTGTGTAAAGCGGTGTCAGTCAGTGAACGAGTCTGGGACGGTCCTTGCGCGCTTAAGATCTGCTCCTCAGGTTGCGTCGGTAACTGTTAGCCGTGATTTGGCTACATTGGTCAGTTGTCCCATATGATGGGATCTCTGTCACTGTCAGTGCAGTTGGGAAGCGTCTAAATGTACTTCTGCGCGCACCAGACCTTGCAATCAATGACACGCAAATCTGCCTCACATTCAGGCATCACGTTCGTGGGCAATGAAACAATGACCAGTTCGACGCCAGCCAGTATGTGGATGCGACGCTGAACGAGACAAGCCATCAGATCGTGTTCAGCACGCTGCCCAGTATGGACGGCGTGAGAGACTACAATCATTCGGTAAGGCAACGCGACACCACCTCTCGTTGTTCGGGCTGACTTGTCTTGGATTAGGGCGCATAGCCTCCCGGGCTCCAGCGTAATTGCAACGAGCGTTCGGGCTGAACCGTGGCCATCCGCGTCAGTGATCGTCATGAGTCCGCTGCATTGGAAACAATTTTGGATCTGTTGTGGAAATTGAAAATGTTCAGCGCTACCAACTTCCCAAAACTTTGATTCATCCGAATTTTAGCCGTTATGTTTTCACACCACTCACGTACGAGTGCGTCTGTTTTGCGCGAAATGAACAGCTTATACAATGCACATCGCTTTTCAGGCAAACATCAATTCTATGACCGGGACGTGCCAGATGGAGTGCGGCAAAGACGTAAGTATCTTCTCGAATGCGGGAGACACGATCCTGGTTGGAATGTGGATACACACACATAACACTTCTGTCTATCATGGGTGCTGTCGTTCACCGTAAGGGTTATATTAAGCTGTCAATCTGACTACCTGTCCTGTTGGAGAAAAGACTGAAAAACTAAAAATCTACAATTATTGATCGGTTCAGCATCAAAGAATACCATGAGTACCTATGAAAGTTGTGATAAAGCACTTGTCAGCGCCATAATACGTCGATTAGTTACGAAAAATTAAAACTAGGATATTAGCAGCTCCCAGCCATTGCACGCCGTCATGGAGCGTCCCCCGAAGGTTGGGCGGCAATATTCTGCAGAAATCGCATTTGCACTGAGAAAAATGTTTCCAAGTCGTTCCAGGTCCAGGCAGTCATAGGGAACGTTAACTATCTACGAGATCCCATAGTCCTCCCAGGAACTGCAGCTCCTGGGACCCTTATGACTTTGGGAATATACAAGAGACAATTTAAGTAAACTTTTGACGCTTCCTATCCCTTAATATCGACGCTTCCTATCCCTATTGCTTAACTCTGCGGGGTCGCGCCATCCCTTTGACTATGTAGCTTCTGGAGCCATGTCTCACCCTTCAAAAGTCGGACTGCCCCAAGAGGCCCACATAGCTTGCATGTGTCTCGCCCTGCCATGTGTGTCTTACGCTGTCATGTTTGAGTTTTACGCTGCCGTGTGCGAGCCTTACGCTGTCATGTTTGAGTTTTACGCTGCCGTGTGCGAGCCTTACGCTGTCATGTTTGAGTTTTACGCTGCCGTGTGCGAGCCTTACGCTGTCATGTTTGAGTTTTACGCTGCCGTGTGCGAGCCTTACGCTGTCATGTTTGAGTTTTACGCTGCCGTGTGCGAGCCTTACGCTGTCATGTTTGAGTTTTACGCTGCCGTGTGCGAGCCTTACGCTGTCATGTTTGAGTTTTACGCTGCCGTGTGCGAGCCTTACGCTGTCATGTTTGAGTTTTACGCTGCCGTGTGCGAGCCTTACGCTGTCATGTGGGGGTCTTACGCTATATCGCGTAAGGGTCTCAGTAAAGTCATGAGAGAAACGTGGTACATAGGTTCAAAATCTCAGTGGAAAAAGCTCAGAAGTCCAAAGAGTCCAGCTACCCTCGACGGACATTTAGAATGGCTCCAATGAGGCATCTTAACCCACCACGAGGGGGCCTCACTTATTGCCCTTGGCATAAGGAGAACTACACGGGCTTTATCTGTGGACCGGCAGCTGCGCCGGCGGAGTTGGGGCTGGGGGGGGGGGGGGGGGGGGGGGGGGGGGGGGGGGGGGGGGGGGGGGGGTGGGGGGAGGGGTGGCTGGGCGGTGGCGTTGCATTGGTTCAAACGGGGCTGGCAAGTGGGCAGGCTTCGATGGCCAGGAGCGCCCCGAAGGACCAGATGGGAACTGAGGAGCATCACAGAGGGCCAGGTAGGAACTGAAGAGCGCTTTGAGGGACCAGTTGGGAACTGAGGAGCGACACGAAGGACCAGGTGGGAACTGAGGAGCGCCACAGGGGGCCAGGTAGGAACTGAGGAGCGCTGTGAAGGACCAGGTGGGAACTGAGGAGTGTTACGGAGGACCAGGTGGGAACTGAGGAGCGTTACAGGGGGCCAGGTAGGAACTGAGGAGCGTCACAGAGGGTCAGGTAGGAACTGAGGAGCGCTGTGAAGGACCGGGTGGGAACTGAGGAGTGTTACGGAAGACCAGGTGGGAACTGAGGAGCGCCACAGGGGGCCAGGTAGGAACTGAGGAGCGCTGTGAAGGACCAGGTGGGAACTAAGGGGCGACACAGAATGCCAGGTGGTAACTGAGGAGCGTCATAGAGGGTCAGGTGGTAACTGAGAAGCGCCGCAGATGGCCGGGTCATGACCTGCCGTCATGTCCGGTCGGGTGGGGTCAGGGACCGCGCTGGCGCTGTTCGGACGGGTCGTCGGCGTGCGTAGTGAGGTCGGTCCCTTCCCAGGATCACTAGAGCTCAGGTGCCACCTCACATGACTCGGGTTTACTTCTTTTCGATTTGCTTCTTTTTTCGGATTTGCTTTTTTGACGCAACTGATTCCGTACCATGCCCACGGGCTGGACAAACTGGCAAGTGAGACGGCTGGCTGCATCGGGCGAAGTTACGGCGCTGGTAACGGCGACCTGAGAGGCGTGGAATTGAGGATTGAGCTCATTCAGATGATAACCGAAAGACTCAAATTCCTTAAACATTGAAACTTCACATGAGACTTTAGTTTACTCCACGCTGCTCGTGAGATAGATTCCCAGGGCCGACGGTGCTGTTGTGTTTTCTGACAGACCGAAGATGGAAGGCAGCCATGTCACTGCGACTAAGAACCTGGAAAATTAGCACGGCCCTAGTAAGATATGCTTTTATGGAATGAAACGTACGCCTTTTGCCTTAACTTGTGGGCGTGATATAACATTTCGCTACACTTTATGAAATGAAGGGAAAGTGGGCAACGATTTACGGGTACCGCTTCGTTTTTATTTCATTAGTGAGTTCGAATGAATTTCATAAACTGGCCAAGTTGAGAACAGTGTGGTTTTACAACGCACACATCACGACTCGCGCTAAGCATAACCGGCGCTCTGGAACATCAGGACTTAGTTATCAGTCAACTGGAGGGGAAAAGGAAGTTAGACGTCAAGTTACCATTTGCTTCAGTTACTATAATCTACAACGTTCCTAGCAGCGCCACAGCGACCACGAGTGCGCGGGGTTTAGCAAACCATTACGCTGCAAAAACCGAAAGCTGTGAGAAGGACAAAAAATGTCGGGAGTCCAAATGCCCCGCCACTACATTTTGCTTGGGCATCCACCTGTACAGTCGAGATATTTGCACTTTGCTGTTTACAACATGCGACTTGCTCATATTATCCATCTTCATTCAGTTATGTCGCAGTAGTCAAGCAGGTGATAATTGTGATGATTTGACATCGTTTTTCTTGAGCATTCAGATGCATAGACGTCGTCATGTATGCGAGATATTCTGTTAAGTTTAAGCTCTTACATCGATGACGCCATAAATGAAAAATGCTCGCCCCCTTCTTAATCCATCATACTTCGCAGCTTTTGATTATGCTGTCGGGTCGTGCCCAGTATCTTCAGAGGCCACAATTCGGCTTAATCTTAGTTCAGGAAACGGATTTTCCTTGAAATTCCTGCCAATGCTAATAACGCTCGATGAGATCCCGGACTAGAACTGACCAGTTTTGATGGATGATGCATCAAACGAGGGCTTGGGCTCTGAATGGTAGCATTTTACGACCAGGAATTGTAATATTCAGACGAGCGATTTGTTTGGATTTTGGGATTTTGCTTTGGCTGCTTTCGTATTACAGATCGGCAGCGATGCTTGTATTTCTGCCTATCCTGTTAAAGACCGCAGCGTGGACGTTTGTTTCCTAATTGCAGACCGGCAGCTTCGAGTTTACCGCCTACGTCAAAGACGCCAACACAGCAACACCTAAGTTCAGCCTTCCGACGTATACCGTGCATGTACCGGAGATGTTTCCAAAGGGCCTGGCTCTGCCGAACTCAGCAATATTCGCCTCAGGTACGGATGCTACTGTGAGCCCTCACACCGACCATCCGCAGCAACCGCCGTCGCCAACATAGTGGAATTTATGCCGTGGGATCAACTCCCGTCCATGACAATTCTTTTCGCCAGAACGGTGGCCATCAACGTTGTGAGTTACTGGAACAGCCTGAGTGTTATAGATTTGGTTTTAAGTGAAGCATATTATTGTGTAACATCGATGTGATCTTTGGCATGACAGTTTTAAGCATGTTACGTGAGTTTTTTAACTTTTCAGTTAGGGGGTTTGATTGTTCAGCAGCTCAGTAATTCATTATAAAAAACATTTGGTCATATTCGGAACAAAGTGTACAAAAATCCATGGCAACGAGATACTGATTTTAAATAGAAGGTATTGTATGGCCGGCTAATTATGGATATGCACCAATTGTTCAACCATTAGCCAGTCTCTTAAAAAATAATATTGCAGGTTATTGTCGTTAATCGAAGATGATGCTCAGATAACCGTATAATTCAATTTCTCCTAGCAAATATACATTTTTCAAGCACAAATTCGACGTTTAAGAAAAATGTTCAGAAAATTTGCAACCTATGACAAATAGGCACCAACAATCTTGCCAGAGCTTGTACATGCTAGGTATTCGTAAGCGTAAGTGGTTTTCTTTGGTGAGACGCATGCCCAGGCATTAAGTAGCAGTTGCAAAGAAACAAGGGAGTAGAGCACCACATGTGTGGGAAGAAATAGATATGTATATTACACACATATATATATATATATATATATATATATATATATATATATGCATATGTACACAAGAATAGATAGTGATTGGTTCAACCATTCAGGCAAGAAACCTTGTTTGGGGCATCCCAAAACGAATAGTTGTAGTGATGCTGCCTGAGCAAGCAGATTCTTCGCAAAAAAATGCTTGAATTCATTTAAATCGAGCAAAGATGTGGGCGGAGTTTACAAAAGTTGCTATGCTGTATGCTTGATTCATGCAAGTTGCAACACAGAAAGACTTTCAAAATGAGATATAGCAAGTGCCATTGTCTACCTGCCTTGGGTGACAGAACCATAGTGTGCAAAAGTGTTTATCAACTAGCGTGACATAATGAAGGGTTTCACCTTCAAACATTTTCTTCAGCTTCATAACACAGCCGAGCACGAGTTATGCATCGTTAGACAAGTCAGTCCACATGCAAATCATATACCTCACAAAATTACGCAAAATTACAACTTGTAATATTGGTGTCGCATGGAGCAATTACCATACATTACGTAATTGCATTACATTTGCTTAACTTACAGGATATATGTATATACAAATATATATATATATATATATATATATATATATATATATATATATATATATATGTGTGTGTGTGTGTGTGTGTGTCTCTGTGTGTGTGTTACACAAACATCTTCATGTATTATGATCATGGACATTGTGTACACTGCCAGTATGTGCCTATATTAAAAAGGAAATGGTGACTTACGGCTACCAGAGAGATCGTTTCAAAGGGATGAAGAACTCTTTAACACGCGCTGGAAGTTGTTTCAGCAAAGCCCGCTGATCGACCCATATCTAACATGTGTTGCCCGAGCACTTCGTCCACCCCTTTTATCTGAGCTGTTGTTCCTAGCTTCACACAGCTTATTTCCTCAGATGAAAATGTTTCGCGTGCGTGTTCGTGTACGGCAAAAATAGATAGAATATGCATAAAACGCTTACGATCGCCTTGGAAGCCAGCGCAATCGGCTGATAACAGTTCTGAAGCTATGAAGACACAGGTCCTGGCCAATCCTTTCCTGCTGAGTCGCATGTTGGAATTGCGGAAGCGACCCCAAGGCTGCGCGATCAGGTTAGCAACAAAAAAAATTCTGAGGATTCCTTTTCCTGCGTTCCTGTGTTCTCATCTGAGCTGGGCGACATTCGCAGACGCGGACGCCGGGTCTCAGAACCACGCCGTCTCGTTCTCTTGCGTTCCTGTGTTCTCATTTGAGCTGGGCGACATTTGCAGACGCGGACGCCGGGCCTCAGAACTACGCCGTCTCGTTCTCTTGCGTTCCTGTGTTCTCATCTGAGCTTGGCGACATTTGCAGACGCGGACGCCGAATTTTATAACTACGCCGTCTCGCTCACCTGCGTTCCTGTGTTCTCATCTGAGCTGGGCGACATTTGCAGACGCGGATGCCGAATTTTATAACTACGCTCGCCGTCTCGTTCTCCTGCGTTCCTGTTCTCTCATCTGAGCTGGGCGACATTTGCAGACGCGGACGCCGAATTTTGAACTACGACGTACGCTCTCGTTCACCTACGTTCCTGTGTTGTCATCTGAGCTGGGCGACATTTCAACGCGGACGCCGAATTTTATAAACTACGCCGTCCTCGCTCACCTGCGTTCCTGTGTTGTCATCTGAGCTGGGCGACATTCGCAGACGCCGACGCCGAACCTCAAACTACGCCGTCCGTTTTTTTCCTTGGACGAGGACGACACTTTTGGCCTCTCAGATCCCGTCAAAACGTCGGATGTCGAGCCAACTTACACCGCCCAGCTGGTTCTGAAAAGCCGCTGGACTGGAGCAAAATCAAGTTGTACAATCTGGCCGTCACGGCAAAGTAAGGCCCATTCTTTTTTTTTTGCGGTGATAGGAACATCATCACGCATCGAAAAAGCTTGCTCTTCATGCAAAGTGACATAATCTTTGGCGGTTCGTTATCTATGGCATCTTTCCTAGATGTTGTGTCCCAGACATTTCGCTCTAGAGTGACAACTAACGCTTACGTCTGTCATCAAATGCGTTCCCAAGAGGTTTCTAGGGCGGCTTGTTATGACTTTTGTCACTCTGAAATGCATTTCTTTTGTTTTGTTTGCTTTTAAGCTGTTGCCAGACCTGACGTAGTCAAGCTAGATCAAGTTGATATTTGTAACAGGATTCGAATTTCTAAAGCTCACGCGATTTCAACCTTGACGGCCTATATTTTGCAGCTTTGAAAACCTTCCTTACCCTAATTTCCACAGCGATGCTGCTGGTTTTGTTTGTAGTTTAGCTGGACGGGCCAGCGCAACAACATTTAGTCCTTTGACCTGATTTGACATAATACAGGTCATACCTTGCAACGCCCGTAGTGCCTGCCTGAAAAGCGTTGTTAGAATGTAGTTTAACGCCCTCTTCTGTTTGCTATAGCTTGCGTAGTTTATGAAGATAATGCAAGTGGTCTACTAAGTGTTGCTTAATAGACCCCTTTTGGCTCTAATGACCTGTTCCTTTTCACATGTACCAAATCACATTTAACATTGTTTCCCCGCACTTCTGATGGAGTTCGGTAAGAGCTATCCGATGCCTTTTTCCACGTGGCTTTTTCTCCGGCTTATTTAACTCGCACGGCGAATATGAAAAAACACAGTGGGGGGGGGGGGGGGGAGAGGTTTACATGTTATCTCTGTGAGCGAACACAGGCCTTTGGGCGTTCTAATGATGCCAAAATGAGAGAATAACAGAATACTGGTCATCGACGTTTGAAAGCTTTGGTGCCGGCTCTGGCCCTGACACCGACTCCGGCTCTGACGCCGGATCTGGCCCTGGTGCCGGCTATGGCTCTGGCTCTGGCCCTCCCTGGCCCTTGGCCCTGGCTCCTGGCTCTGGGCTGCCCCCTGGCCCCGTGCCGGCTTTTCTCTGGCTCTGGCTCTGAAGCCGACTCTGGCCCTGGTGCCGGCTCTGGTTCTGGGTCTCTCTGGCGGCCGGCTCTGGCTCTACGCGCTACGCGCACGGACTTTTCTAAGAGGAGCCCGAGTGTTGGATAGGCCCAACACTGTGACAAGTTAATATTTGCGACGTATGCTAAGCTGCCGTAAACGTCATGCTGTGTTAAGACTTTGGCACCCTTTTACATAAGGTGCTCGGCTCGCTTTGAGCTAGTCCGCGCGCCGTCTCAAAGAGAGAGACTGGTGGCAGCTGCTGCCAATAGCTGGCATTTCCCCTGTCAAATCTCCGGAGTGCTGGTATCTGTTGAGACTGTGGCTCCTTGTTTCGGAAACAAGTTTGAAAATCTGGTAGAACCAGCAGGCAGTTTTGAATTACTGCTCATATTTGTCTCGACTACGTCTTGCAGCGCGAAATATCAGCGCATCTCTTTTTTCTTCTCAGTTATTCAACGAAAAGGTCATACGTACTGTCCTTGTTTATGTACAAGGCTCCTCGCAGTTACGCTGAACAATTACATGCATATTTCATTTAGATGAAACAGTTATCTTAGACTTGTCGGGGTACTTCTATCTTTGGTGGAACAGAGTCTTTAAAATTGTTAATAAAATTCAAAGGCTATTGCAAAACAATAACAAGGCCTTGAGAGCAAAGCTTACGCGGGGATGGGGTCAAATCACCGCGATGAAAAAAACAACAAAAAACGGTCGGAAATCATGCTATGCTGTCTTACTCAGGAAGAGACACATACGCTGCTCCACGTCTGTTAACACCGTGTTTTGTCCCTCAGGATCCCGATGGCCGCTCTGACACGGCCACCATCAAGGTGGTGGTTGACGACATCGATAACAAGCAGCCTGACTTTGATGAGATGAGCTACAGCACTGAGGTGGTCGACCCGGAGGTTGGTTTAGTTGGTTGGTTGGTTGATATGACATGTGCGACCAATGCGGATGACAATCAAAGTGTACACAGATGATGTACACAGTGTACCTGATTGATGTACACAATCAGGTGTACACACATGAAGTAAAGGCCTTTATCTGTCACTATCTGGACATTTGTGGCAGACCTGAAACCGTTTTTTCTGTTGGTTAATGCCAGTGTGCATCATTTCGTCATTGGCCTTAACGACGCGTTCAGTACCCGCGTTTTACGGTTGTTTTTTTGAGCAAACCGTACCGAACCGATCCTACACGAACATCAGCGGTCTGGAAGTGCGTCGATAACTATCATGCACGCATCTTAAAAAGTGTGTACGAGGGCAGATGACCAGTGTTTACAAGTGCCGAATTAGGTGGCCTGTAAAGAATACAACGTGGTTTTCACGGCATTAGCCGTGAAGCGTGATGTTAGAACAGAGTGTGTTTCTATGATAAACATGGGGGAAGCTCATTGGTCAAGAAGGCAAAACAAGGACCGAGGGTGATAAGATGGGTTAATTACTCAAAAACGGACAGTCCTCAGCGTGCCAGGCTCAACTGAACGATTCGTCTAATGACAAGGATGTAGGACCGAGTGAATGACAAGGATGTAGGATCGAGCGAATGACAAGGATGTAGGATCAAGTGAGTGACAAGGATGTAGGATCGAGCGAATGACAAGGATGTAGGATCGAGCGAATGACAAGGATGTAGGATCGAGTGAGTGACAGACTATCCGCTCGCGCCCGGGGGTCTGAGACAATGCGCCCAGCCAAGGGGAGTTCTTCTCCACTGGGATCTCCGACCTTCGAACGCCGTGTGAGAAACCATTTAAAGGTTAAGAAACCATTTAAAGGTTTCTAAAGATAAAACCAGTTAAGTATAAAAGTTCGAAGGTAAAGAAACCATTTAAGACACCATTTAAAGGGCTTGCCAGACCATGAAAGAGCACGACTGACCATGTGACCAGTGCAACATTTTGTGTTTTGCTGTGCTCAGAATAATATATATACAGATCTTCAGGTACTCGAGATCACATAGCTGCTGTTTACATTATGCATAGTCCCTTCGACTCTAGGCAATGTATTTGTAACAAGCTGACAACATGTACGTTGGTACATGAAATTATGCGTCATCAGCTTCAAAAATACGATAAGGAGGATACAAACATCGCACTCGTTCATATAGCCTCTCCCCTACTGGAAAGATAGGCCTTGATCTTTTATGACTTAATGTGACCTTGCATGTCCTCGCGTGACACATTGTGACCTTGTTATGCATAAAAAGGATGTAACAAAATGTTTTCTGTAGATAATTCGAATTCTGCATCCAAAATTACGAATCTGCATATTTTGAGCTCAGCACTGCTTTTCAGAAAGTACCATAGATAGGTCATGACCAGGGACAAAGTCACGTGCGCCGCGGTCATATGATGGCTGGCATGTAAGTTAATAGTGTTTTCCTCATAAAGTAGAACTGAAACTACTCAAGCATCCGTGCAAACTTGCATTATTTACCAAAAAGCCAGAAATTGGCCCGACTTAAGATCACTGACTTCGGTTTTTCCGAAAAATCATAAAAGATTAACTCTGGGCACTAACGTCCTATTACCATAGCATGCTTGAGAAATGACAAATAAACTACACAAAGTTACGTGTGGTCAAAGTCACTGATCTTAGGACATAAAAACTCGATATTTGCGCAACGACACGAATGAAAATGCATGGCACTGGAATTAAATGTCGCTGCGAGCGTTCGTTTTTGACCTGTGCCCGAAAAGCCCTAGGGGAAAGTCAACTCCCTCGGCGAGGCGCGGGCTGATACCATAGAAGAATGGAGTACACTCGAATGGGTTTAAAGTCGCATGAATTCCGTTTGGTATGGTACGTTTTCGTTTGTGTGGGCTCGCTCCATGCTTTTGAAATGTGCTTATTCTTAAGCGGCTCAGGCCCAGGTCTGATGCATATTTCGTGCGAGGTACTTTCGCGTCCTGCGCAACATCGCCTCTGGCAACTTCTTAAATAGCAGCACTCAACGCTTGACTTACCACAGCGCCACAAACGGGGGGCCGCCGTGGCATGTGTCGCTCACCAGGTTGTCAGCCGCAGATTGTTTGGGTTGGCAGCATGATAGTTTAGATAGATTTGGTTTGTATTTGGATTTTATTAAACAAAGTGCAACTTGCCCCGCCATGATGTTCTAGCTGTTTTCCATGGAAGCAGTCCATAGACTTCGTAGGGCCGTCATGTACCTTCAACGGCTCTGTATCGTGTTGTTGTTGTCCTGCGGTAGCTACGTTCACCTCGTGTCGTTGACAGGAGGTAGTTAGGATGCCCGTGCCCTTGGACGCCGCACTCTGCGCTCGGTCTGCCTGCCGAAGATCTCCAGCAATATCCGAGGTGATCTCTTAAATTTAGTCGATGACCCTCCAGGTGACGTTCATATAGCTGACCTGAGGTCAATTCGGACGTGCCTACCTGAGGACGATAATTATATACTGGTGTAACCCACAATACAGTTCAATGCTAAAAAAAAAACAAAAAAGACACTGGGATTTACTGCAAAATCAACGATGCGAGCCCACGTAATGGCGTTATGAACGCTTTGCGTGTTATGGTGTTTTGTCGGTTTTTCGCTTTTACGGTTTTTGTGGTGTCATAAATGCAACTTTTAGGGCGGCTTTCATCTCCCACTTGACAATATTGAATACCATATCATTTAACTATAACCCTTGCGTAAAGAACGCCAACCACCCAAAAACCCAGAGACTGTGTCCATTGATTAGTCGTCTAGAATATCTAATGTACTTACATATTGACTATGATATTATATATATAATATATCTCTATATATTTTATTTATTATCTGATATCTCTCTGCTCTCTCTCTCCTGCTTCTTCTCCTCTTCTCCTCTCTCTCTCTCTCTATATCTCCGCTCTCTCATCTTCTCGATCTCTGATTATACATTTTATGATGACTAGGTACCTAGGCTCAACTAGAATCGCTAATAGTAGTAGTCGCTAATAACAGTAGTATTCAAATCCTGACATTTCGCAAGCCATGCAGCGATCAAGGCCGATAAACGTATAATGGTCTTGTTATACATATGTGGCACTCGTGAACACGATATTTAGATTATGTACCGCCGTCAACTGGCTCTCAATCGATGCTGTGCAATGTACAATGACGTAATCATATAATGATGCATCGACGAGCATATTTCCTAAAGAGAGAATTTGTAGTGTCTAGAGCAGTTTTTTTCTGTTTAGAAGCGTGCCAACAGTTACAAGTGAGCCTGTTTCATCATATCTTTTCGTTTTTACGATAACTTCATGTGTGAAACATATCCTATTTGCCCCAGTTTTGCTAGTTAGGTACTTTAGATTTTTGGTATGTGATTATCTAAGCAATATCATCTTAAAAGGTTGACTGCTTTGCGCAACAGGTCTTTCCAACATCTCAGCGCGTGTCTTTGTTGCAGGCGCTGGGGCCGTTGAACGTCACCATTCACGCGACCGATCCGGACGCGCCCCACACTCTGAAATACACAATGCAAGATCCTTCGGGAGGTAGGCTTCTCTTGGAAACCCTTTCCTGACCGTTTCAAGGTTATTTCTTCAAGATGAACTAGATCACCTTCAGTGCATCCCAACGTAGAGCCGAGGATACGCCGAGGATTAGGCGAAAGAAGCGGGATAGGGTTAGTGCACATCACCATGAATCACCGCTGCGTCATGTTCGATTGTTTCAGCCGGCTGGGACAGCTTCTTCACGCTGAATCCGGATACCGCCGAGTTCAGCCTAACCCAGTCGCTTAGCATCACCTCAATAGCACCGCCACGGCCATCACATTTCTGCTGCATAACGGAATGTAGTCAGCGCCCAGCTCCAGCCAATTCACCTACGCATGCACGTGTGCCGCAACTTTGTCGCGCAAACATATCGCGTCTAGAAAGACAGAATCTCCCCTGCGATGTTGCTTCGTAAGGCGCTGGGCGGTGATGCGATTCGGTAAGAGCGAGCCGGCGGTGGATGCGCCGTGGCAGCGGTGTGCTGGCGACGACCCAGAGGATGTGACCCGGCGACGACCCTCAGGATGTGACCCGGTGACGACCCTCAGGATGCGACCCGGTGACGACCCAGAGGATGTGACCCGGCAACGGCTCTCAGGATGTGACCCGGCGACGACCCTCAGTATGTGACCCGGCGACGACCCTCAGGATGTGACCCGGTGACGACCCTCAGGATGTGACCCGGTGACGACCCTCAGGATGTGACCCGGCGACGACCCTCAGGATGTGACCCGGCGGCGACGACCCTCAGCATGTGACCCGGCGACGACCCTCAGGATGTGACCCGGTGACGACCCTCAGGATGTGACCTGTGCACGCTGTGGCCGATTGGGTGGAGCAGTCGAAATGCCCCGCGGGTATTGCTCTTGCTGGAGACGCTTCCATGCCAGCAATATTAGACGGCGGCCTAAGTGTTACCAAATTCGAAATGTACAATAGCTAGAAGAGACAGCATCGAAACTGATAGTTTGTCGTCAGGTCGGTGAGAGTAGTCGTTAAATTTTACTAAGGCACTGCTTGTATTTCGTCACCGTGCACGGATTTATCAGTTTAGGTCTGCGAATTTAAGCCCACGTAAATTCATCAAGTATCGCTGACCTTTAACGCCAACCAAGTGCAGCACGACGATAAAAACGTTTCCGGAATATAATAATCGTAATTTAGAGAGATGTGATGGCGTTACATCGCCCTGGCTCCGGCTTTCCCAACTTTTCTTCTATCTGGACTTGGTTCCAAAGAGCTTCCTGTTTTCATAATCTTAGCGTGAAATGTCTGTCACGCTGCTAAGGTCTCCCACCGCCGTCACGCTGCTAAGGCCTGTCACCGTTTGGTGCACGTGAGAGGCCGAAGCAGAAGGTCACAGTATGATTCACAACGTAGCGTGTTCTGTTATGCATTGTCTGTGCTGCTGCGCCCTGTCTGTTCTGCTGTGTCTTGATGCTCTGCTGTGCCTTGTCTGTTCTTCTGTGCCTTGTCTGTCCTGCTGTGTCTTGATGTTCTTCTGTGCCTTGTCTGTTCTGCTGTGCCTTGTCTGTCCTGCTGTGCCTTGTCTGTCCTGCTGTGCCTTGTCTGTCTGCTGTGCCTTGTCTGTTCTTCTGTGCCTTGTCTGTCCTGCTGTGCCTTGTCTGTCCTGCTGTGTCTTGATGTTCTTCTGTGCCTTGTCTGTTCTGCTGTGCCTTGTCTGTCCTGCTGTGCCTTGTCTGTTCTGCTGTGCCTTGTCTGTCCTACTGTGCCTTGTCTGTCCTGCCGTGCCTTGTCTGTTCTGCTGTGCCTTGTCTGTCCTGCTGTGCCTTGTCTGTCCTGCTGTGTCTTGATGCTCTGCTGTGTCTTGTCTGCCCTGCTGTGTCTTGTCTGTTGCCTTCCTGATGCGAGCCACGGAGCCGCATACACACCGTTGGCTATCGTTAGGAGGTGGATGTCTCGCAATGTAGATATTCTTTGAAATGTGGCGTGCGCAAATCGTGGATACCAAAACCGATATGTGAGTGACTGACGGACGGTGCCTTCGGCAGGCGACCGAGGTGGGAGGGGAAGGCTTCTACAGTCGGGCGGCCTTGGTGGCGGCTGCCGGCTCAGGAGATAAAACGACGCCAGGTACGCCGGACAGCGAGCGGTTATAACAACGATGACAGGTACGCCGGACAGCGAGCGGTTATAACAACGACGCCAGGTACGCCGGACAGCGAGCGGTTATAGCAACGATGACAGGTACGCCGGACAGCGAGCGGTTATAACAACGATGACAGGTACGCCGGACAGCGAGCGGTTATAACAACGATGACAGGTACGCCGGACAGCGAGCGGTTATAACAACGATGACAGGTACGCCGGACAGCGAGCGGTTATAACAACGATGACAGGTACGCTGGACACCGAGCCAGGATGTAACAACGATGACAGGTACGCTGGACACCGAGCCAGGATGTAAACACGATGACAGGTACGCTGGACACCGAGCCAGGATATAACAACGATGACAGGTACGCTGGACACTGAGTCGCGTCGGCAGCGCAGGGTTAAATGCAGGTTCGTGAAGGCGAAAATTCAGGCCCAATTTCTGTCGGAGGAAACGTTTGTTTGGCAACTTCCGCGGGCTTGAATTGAGAGGGGCTGGTGACGTTAGTGATCTGCACTGTCAGTTGTGTCCATAAATAGTTGAAAACAAATTCTGGTTGCTGGTGAGCCGTGTTGCAATCTGTGTGGCAACCAACTCTTTAATATGGAAATGCCCGATATGGAAATGCCCGTAAATGCCCGTAGGTGTAACAATGTGTAAATTCGTGGCATTCAGACGATGCAATCACACGAAGAGCATGTCATGCACAGTCGCTCAAAGGTTCTGACAACCGAACCAGTCGTGGCACTCATGATGTGAGCGACTTGGCAAGTAATTCGAAGCATCATGTGGGTCAGAAAATGCATCTGTTTGGTTTGGCGGTTAGGTCCCGTTAAGTGCATGAATGCGTACGTAGAAGCTCCGCGTGAGTCCGGTAACGTAACATTACACTCATTTTTCGGCGTCACACTCGTAAACAAGGCTATTCGGGCCAAAAGAGAACAACAGCTTTTGTTACTGAAATTTTCGGTCGCTTTTGAGCCCTGTTGAGACAACTCAGGCCACTATTTCAGAAATGATTTTGTGTTCGCCTTTTCCTTTCGCCTTTTGTAGCCTGTTGAAGAATGCAGTTTTTATTAGTGCATACCAAACGTTTTCATGGATGGCTTTGTTCTCGGAGCACCCGCTAGGTATAGCTTGTTGCGTGTGCCCTGAACCATCCACTCAAGTCGCGCCCTTCGGTTCAACGAATAAACTGGCTCCGCTTTTTCGCCAGACAGTAATGCGGGGATTTTACTTGGCGCACAATGTTCCGACGCGTCCGCCCCCGGCCTAGTTGGCTTTCGTTGGCCAGTTGCCAGCTGCTCCTTCCATTTCAGTCGTGCCAAGCAATGCAGCTGACCAGGAACTTGTACAAGCTGTTATGATTTGATGACATGCTGTATTTAAGACGGCTTCTAATGACAAGAGGCGTCTTTGGTGCTAACGTTAATAACATGAACTGCTAAGTTACAAATTAAGTTGCAATTTGATATATATATATATATATATTATATATATATATATATATATGATGTATGTATGCACATATATCTATACATATATATATATATTGTTTGTATGTTTTAATGTCTTTTATGTGATATGATGACAGCTTGTAGGTAATGGTTTTTGAATTTATACCGTGTATAACTTGCACAGGATAACAGACGCTTTTCATGTTTGTCGTCAAAAATGGTGTGCTGCGGTCAGTTGCGTAAGCATTGCTACGAACTGGGCGGCAATACAAAACACCATTTATCCACCAATATTAAATGCCCCTTTCCAAAGATAAGGTCGATGTTAGTAGTGCATGGCGGGAATTCGGTCACGCTTATTACATAGTCTTTGAGTACGCATCCCAAATATTTTGTTATGATTTTCACAGCTTTTTACAAAACCTACTTTATAATATTGTATGTTATAAGACACTCTTCCTTCGTGCGCTGCAGTAATCACTGTTAGTGATAATGAATTTTGACCTCTAGAGAAGACATAATTTTTTAAAGGAAATATGTTTTCAAGTTATAAGTTGTAAAACCCGCCTAAGACCTGTTGGCTAAAATGTGTGTGAGCTGCCCCAATGCAAACGTAATGGTGAAAATAATTTGCGCTTAGCGTGTTCAAAAAGATCCACTCTTTCCTGATGCGTTTTAAAAGAAATGCAGCGGATTAAAACACGATAAAGCCGGCGTGCAAGCAAGGAAACGTTTGAGGAAGTTTCGCCTTGCTCTCTTTTAGATGATTATTTCCGCTGTGCCACGAGCACAACCATACGAGTTGCATAATATGTGCAGTTATACTACGTGTAAAGGATATTTTTCCATCTAGCGAGCCCTAAAAAAGCACCATACTTGTTCTGCTGAACAGCACTTTCTCAGCGTATCCAGCCGTACCATCGTAAACTCTAAAATTGCTATCGGTTATAAGCTTTACAGCCGAAAATGCAGCAAGGTGCTCAATTTAAACCGACTGAATGATCGTTTCCCCGTGATGTAGGACCGACGACCCTAAGCATATGGTTGGCGGCCCCCCCCAGTGATGAGCTGGCGGTGCACGTGGCGGTTGGCGAACTGGTTGAGCACGTGGCAAGTAGCGAGCTGCTGACACGTGTGGCAAGTGACGAGTTGGTAGCGCGTGTGCGTGGGTTTCTGGGGTCCTACTTGAAAAGCAGTTAACTCACCTCACTGGCAGCAAAAGCCAGTTCCCGTAGCGGATTCATCACTACTGCATGGTGAGTACT